AATGACCATGGACCAGAGTTTACACATGGTAAGACCAGACGTACATGTAGGAAATGACCATGGACCAGAGTTTACACATGGTAAGACCAGACGTACATGTAGGAAATGACCATGGACCAGAGTTTACACATGGTAAGACCAGGCTAGAACATCAAAAACTAGAACATAATTTCAAAGTCCAGCGTTTCCTTCTGAACAAATTAAACATTGTAAACTATGAAACAGAATCGTTAGAGACAGAGTGAGACACCGCTTTTATTTGTTGATAATTGGATCACAGCAGTAACAAGTCATGAGTCACATTTCAGGTTGAATCACAGAAATAAATTAATGCTTGAATGATTTTTTCACTTGTAGGAGTTTTTGAGCAGTTGCCATGGCAACAGAGGTGTTCTCTCTGTGATCTGACAGAATCTGATCCCACGGACTGTTCAGACAAAGCACAAGTCGGACTTTACTCTGGTCCAGCCTGTGGTCTGTGGTGAGAGCAGCACTGGACGCTCTGTTCATTTATTTATTCATTTCAGGCGTTTCACGTTGGGCACAAGTCACCTACTTTACAACAAAAATAAGTGCAGTGTTGCTAACATGCATAAGAGGGGAAAAACAATAAGAAATGAACCAAAATAGTTGCCTGAAAGGGAGTAGGAAGAAGTAAATTTTAGTCTTAAACTCATAATAAACACAAATTAGCTTCTCTGCAACGCAACAACTTTACACTCATTTCATTTACAATACAATATATTCTTGTATAGCCCTAGGTCACAACAGCATCATCTCAGAGACTTAACAAAACCATTGAAACACATGTTGATAAATGTCATACATGTAGAATGTTAAAGTGTCCTGGATCATCACAGTCCTTCCAGTCTGACACTAACTGTCCAACAGACTCCAGCATCAGAGGAACAACTCATAAGAAAACCCAGTGGGAAAAAGTGAGAAACCTCAGGGAGACCCATGGTTTGAGAAAGGGATCCGCTCCCACGGACGGACGGGCTGTAGATCTAGGACCCAAGCTAGCTACAGGACGTGGACCAGTGGACGCTGAACGTGGACAGGTCCGGTGCAGGACTGAAGCACTCCCAGGCGGGTCGGGCGGGGCAGTCCGCAGGTGTAGATGGAAGAGGCCAGGCTCAGAGATCCCGTCATCGTACCATGAAACAGACAATGGGACAACAGGTGAATAGCAATGAACAAACTACAGTCAGAATCCTAAAAATGCTAAACAGATAAAGTAGGAAGGAGAGGATAGTGCTGTTACCATACTTCTCCAGCAGGGGGCTCCCTGTAAAGTTCTGCACTTCATTAACACAGAAAGTAAAGGTTTCAGTGTTCGCCCTGTGGATTTATGACGAGGAAATTACAAATACACGACACAAACACGATATAGAAGAAGAGAACAAGGGTTAAAGCACGTACTGCATCTGTAGATGAGACCCGGAGACGGTCACCGCATCAGTCTCATGGTTCTTAATCCCGATACTTCTGCTTCTGTTTTATGCTAAAGTTTAGCTCGTCTCTAATGAGTCACAGGATCTTTCTTTCTTATGCAAAGAAGTCAAAACAAAACTGGTTTGTTCTGTTTGATTTGTTCACATTTTACTTTTGGACAAAACCAACGTGTATAATTAATGCACAGGGAAACGTAGGTCTGGTCTGGACCAGTGTAAAACCATGAATCCTCTCTGCTCTGGTCTGGACCAGTGTAAAACCATGAATCCTCTCTGCTCTGGTCTGGACCAGTGTAAAACCATGAATCCTCTCTGCTCTGGTCTGGACCAGTGTAAAACCATGAATCCTCTCTGCTCTGGTCTGGACCATGTGTAAAACCATGAATCCTCTCTGCTCTGGTCTGGACCAGTGTAAAACCATGAATCCTCTCTGCTCTGGTCTGGACCAGTGTAAAACCATGAATCCTCTCTGCTCTGGTCTGGACCAGTGTAAAACCATGAATCCTCTCTGCTCTGGTCTGGACCAGTGTAAAACCATGAATCCTCTCTGCTCTGGTCTGGACCAGTGTAAAACCATGAATCCTCTCTGCTCTGGTCTGGACCAGTGTAAAACCATGAATCCTCTCTGCTCTGGTCTGGACCAGTGTAAAACCATGAATCCTCTCTGCTCTGGTCTGGACCAGTGTAAAACCATGAATCCTCTCTGCTCTGGTCTGGACCAGTGTAAAACCATGAATCCTCTCTGCTCTGGTCTGGACCAGTGTAAAACCATGAATCCTCTCTGCTCTGGTCTGGACCAGTGTAAAACCATGAATCCTCTCTGCTCTGGTCTGGACCAGTGTAAAACCATGAATCCTCTCTGCTCTCAGACACTCAGGACTCGCTGCTGTTTCCAGTGAATTCCAAAATAGGACCTGATGATGGTGTTTTAGGAGCTCTGGGTTCTCGCTGCTGTCAGAGGAGACTTTATGAGGTCACTGGTCCATGATTCACCAAACTCTTTAGCTGTGGATAGTTTTATTTCACCTCTGCTCACGGCACTGTCCTGGTACCGAGCAGCGAGATCTTCTCCAACCTTGTACTGAGTAAAGTGGTTAAATGTATTCTTTATCTGAAGCCAAATACAAGTGGCCATGAGTGAAACCTTCACAGATAACACACAGACACAGAAGGATGTGTTTCCTGGGGCAGACTGGGCTCAGGACTAGGACTCAGAACAGCCCAGTCTGTGTGAGTTTCCTCCAGGTGCTGTGTGATAGAAATGACACCATGTACACAGGTGCGATGGCAGGGTTGATGGTGCGTGTGTGCTCTGGTTGGTGGTTTGATTCCCTGTCCTGACATATACATCATTGGCTTAGCTTCCAGACGGACTGACCCGCAGGTTGACTGATTAGTGAATGCTCCGGTCTGTCCTTGGGCAAGACACTTCACCAACCTTGCCCCAGTGTCTATGTGTATTGTGTGAATGTGTTTGTGTGTGGGATAGAAATATGTCCATTTCATTCAATTGTTTAAGAGGCTATACCTGTTTCTGCAGGTTTTTTTCAGTTTGAATACTTAGCCCCGCCCCCAACTCGCTCACAGGCTTCTCATTTCCCCCACGCTCTCCTCCCACGGAGCCATCTGGTTTTATTTGTGATCTGATACATATGCTAACATTAGCATTAGCACAACTTCTTGTAAGCTGAACAACAATCACTGATGAAATGGTACAAAAGCAACGCACTGCTAACAAAATATATAACTGAAAGATAACTGCTAGTTTTGCGTCCAAATGTAGTCTGAGCGTAGATAGTCTGAGCGTAGATAGTCCGAGCGTAGATAGTCCGAGCGTAGATAGTCCGAGCGTTGATAGTCCGAGCGTTGATAGTCCGAGCGTAGATAGTCCGAGCGTTGATAGTCCGAGCGTTGATAGTCCGAGCGTAGATAGTCCGAGCGCAGATAGTCCGAGCGTAGATAGTCCGAGCGTAGATAGTCCGAGCGTAGATAGTCCGAGCATAGATAGTCCGAGCGCAGATAGTCCGAGCGCAGATAGTCCGAGCATAGATAGTCCGAGCATAGATAGTCCGAGCGTAGATAGTCCGAGCGTAGATCGTCCGAGCGTAGATAGTCCGAGCGCAGATAGTCCGAGCGCAGATAGTCCGAGCGTAGATAGTCCGAGTGTAGATCGTCCGAGCGTAGATCGTCCGAGCGTAGATCGTCCGAGCGTAGATAGTCTGAGCGTTGATAGTCCGAGCGCAGATAGTCCGAGCGCAGATAGTCCGAGCGTAGATAGTCCGAGTGTAGATAGTCCGAGCGTTGATAGTCCGAGCGCAGATAGTCCGAGCGTAGATAGTCTGAGCGTAGATAGTCCGAGCGTAGATCGTCCGAGCGTAGATAGTCCGAGCGTTGATAGTCCGAGCGCAGATAGTCCGAGCGCAGATAGTCCGAGCGTAGATAGTCCGAGTGTAGATAGTCCGAGCGTTGATAGTCCGAGCGCAGATAGTCCGAGCGCAGATAGCCTGAGCGTAGATAGTCTGAGCATAGATAGTCCGAGCGTAGATCGTCCGAGCGTAGATAGTCCGAGCGTTGATAGTCCGAGCGCAGATAGTCCGAGCGCAGATAGTCCGAGCGTAGATAGTCCGAGTGTAGATAGTCCGAGCGTAGATAGTCCGAGTGTAGATAGTCCGAGCGTAGATAGTCCGAGCGTAGATAGTCCGAGGCGGTCCCGCAGGTCTCTCCCTCAGACCAGTCTCTCCAGAGGATACGATGTAAGCTAGCTCTGTTCAGGGCTTGGTTTCTTCTTTGATCATGTTGTGGCTTTAGTTCCTCTTCTCTTCCTCACTGTTGTGTGGTTTGGGCTGTTTTGCTGTGTCTGCAGTTACAGCCAGAGGAGCTATAGCCACTTATGCTAACATGCTACTGTGTTAACCTGCGCTGCAGACGCTAGAGGAGGCGTGGCCTAGAGGAGGCGTGGCCTGTTTGTACTCTCTCTACTCTCTACTCAGCACTTTTTACGGCCTGAATTCATACACGGTTGAATCAATTAACTCAAGTTGTCAATTAAATTACGTGTTTTAATACAACTTGTTTGTAGTATTACGCATTTTTATGAACTCACTAGAAAATAAATCAGGTTTACGTGCTGTGTGTGACTTTTCTGAGAGATGTGCTGTGTTAGAAAATAGCCCTCGATCGTGAACAGTAATAACCCTAAAATAACGTCCAGTGTGGAGTAAAGCACCTCTTAAACAGTGCTCATGGTGGAGCTGTCAGTGTCGGAGCTGAATAATGGTCACTGGTGTCTCCGCTGGTGTCTCCGCTGGTGTCTCTGCTTGTTTCCACAGATAGCTACACATCTGTCACACAGAGAATGTTGTGATCGTCTGACAGGGAAATGACATGAAGAGAGTCCTTTAACCAAATCAATCCTAAAGACGCAGAATGACTGTCTGTGTCTGTGCCAGATGTCTTCATCTGTGACTCTATAATCTCTGGAGTGAGACTGACTGTACCTCTGTGACGGACAATAGTAGGCCTCAGAGCGGGACCCAACCTACCTACCTAGTAGGTAGGTAGGTTGGTTGGTAGATAGGTAGGTTGGTAGATAGGTTGGTTGGTAGGTAGGTAGGTAGGTTGGTAGATAGGTTGGTTGGTAGGTAGGTAGGTAGGTTGGTAGATAGGCAGGTTGGTAGATAGGTTGGTTGGTTGGTAGATAGGTTGGTTGGTAGGTAGGTAGGTAGGTTGGTAGATAGGTTGGTTGGTTGGTAGATAGGTTGGTAGGTTGGTTGGTAGGTTGGTAGGTTGGTAGGTTGGTAGATACTTTCTTGATCCTGTTGGAGCAATGCCGCTTTTTTTCTTGACTCTGCAGTGTTTTTAAGCAGGATTATTATTCTCTAAAAGGACATTTCTGATCTAATTAGCCACAAACTGCCGTACAACCTTGTGAACACTTTTCCACTTGCACTGGTAACAAAGACGTGTGTACGACCAAACAGGCCTCACCTCCATCTCCTCTGAAACATAACAATACATGGACTGAATGAACCGACGGTAGAGTGGAAGCTCCAGGAGCAGGTTCTATTGTGCTGCATGACAGTGACTGAAGCCCGAGACTCCCCCCATGAGCCCGTCTATTAGCTGCGTCTGTGCCGAACACTGCAGCCTTTCTTCCCTTTTCCTCTGAGTCCAATTCAGAGACTTCTTTACAGTCTTTGAACATGATCAAACTTTTATTGAGTGACTCTCGGAACAGAACGCACCAGAAATGAAATGTGTGGGAACAAGACAGAGGCGGATACAATTATACTGGTGCTGCTGGTACTACTGGTGCTACTGGTGCTGCTGGTGCTACTGGTGCTGCTGGTGCTACTGGTGCTGCTGGTGCTACTGGTGCTGCTGGTGCTACTGGTGCTACTGGTGCAACACAGATGGCTCTTGGCTCCTGTTTAACCTGTATGTGTTCATATGTATATGTTTAACCTGTATGTGTTCATATGTATTTATGTTTAACCTGTATGTGTTCATATGTATTTATGTTTAACCTGTATGTGTTCATATGTATTTATGTTAAATGAGTTGGACATTATAACTGTGTCTGAGGTCAGTACTTAATGAAACAAGCTGCTAACGAGACGCCATGGACACACGTAGCCAGGTATTTTTAAAACTGAATATTTCCCACTCTCCGTTTACAAAATAATTTGCATCCACACATAACCGAACATCTGCGTTTTCAATCTTATTCATGACATTCCAAACATGGGGCCTGAGTCAAGTCCAGACTGAAAACACTACGACTGATCCTCATGAGTTCATTATTGACATCGTTGTACTTTAGCAGTTTATGATTAACAGTTTATTTATTATACAGCTCCTCACAGCAGCAGTAGAACGCTCCATTGATTTGAATGTAATTTCAAAACGTTCTACCGGTCATTATTTTCTATAACGGACCTCTCAAAACAATAATGACCGCTGCCCTTTGGCAACGCACTCTCTGCTTGTCTAAGTAAGTAAGTAAGTAAGTAATCTTTATTTATATTCCGCCCTTCACAGACCAGAGTCACAAAGTGGTTTACAATTGTTATTATTGTGCATTAGTCTCTCACTCCACACAGAGATGGGAGGGGCCAGTACAGGAGGCACATGCCAGAACTATTGTACATATTTTTAGTGGTAGGGGAAACCGGAGTACCCGGAGGAAACCTACGCAGACACGGGGAGAACATGCAAACTCCACTCAGAAAGGCCCTGGTCTGACCGGGATTCGAACCCAGGACCTTCTTGCTGATTTGTCTTTCAAATGCGTGGATAACTCCGCAAGTAGTTCCGGCCACTCCTGAGCTAGCCACGCTGAATCAACACACTTAAATGTTAATCGGAGAATACTTATACATATACATTCTTCACACACGTGCACGGAAATTTTCAGAATTTTCTGGTCTTATCTTCATGACAAAAATACTATTTCTCTGCGTCAAAAAGCGATAGTCCGAGCGTAGATAGTCCGAGCGTTGATAGTCCGAGCGTTGATAGTCCGAGCGTAGATAGTCCGAGCGTTGATAGTCCGAGCGTTGATAGTCCGAGCGTAGATAGTCCGAGCGCAGATAGTCCGAGCGCAGATAGTCCGAGCGTAGATAGTCCGAGCGTAGATAGTCCGAGGCATAGATAGTCCGAGCGCAGATAGTCCGAGCGCAGATAGTCCGAGCATAGATAGTCCGAGCATAGATAGTCCGAGCGTAGATAGTCCGAGCGTAGATCGTCCGAGCGTAGATAGTCCGAGCGCAGATAGTCCGAGCGCAGATAGTCCGAGCGTAGATAGTCCGAGTGTAGATCGTCCGAGCGTAGATCGTCCGAGCGTAGATCGTCCGAGCGTAGATAGTCTGAGCGTTGATAGTCCGAGCGCAGATAGTCCGAGCGCAGATAGTCCGAGCGTAGATAGTCCGAGTGTAGATAGTCCGAGCGTTGATAGTCCGAGCGCAGATAGTCCGAGCGTAGATAGTCTGAGCGTAGATAGTCCGAGCGTAGATCGTCCGAGCGTAGATAGTCCGAGCGTTGATAGTCCGAGCGCAGATAGTCCGAGCGCAGATAGTCCGAGCGTAGATAGTCCGAGTGTAGATAGTCCGAGCGTTGATAGTCCGAGCGCAGATAGTCCGAGCGCAGATAGCCTGAGCGTAGATAGTCTGAGCATAGATAGTCCGAGCGTAGATCGTCCGAGCGTAGATAGTCCGAGCGTTGATAGTCCGAGCGCAGATAGTCCGAGCGCAGATAGTCCGAGCGTAGATAGTCCGAGTGTAGATAGTCCGAGCGTAGATAGTCCGAGTGTAGATAGTCCGAGCGTAGATAGTCCGAGCGTAGATAGTCCGAGGCGGTCCCGCAGGTCTCTCCCTCAGACCAGTCTCTCCAGAGGATACGATGTAAGCTAGCTCTGTTCAGGGCTTGGTTTCTTCTTTGATCATGTTGTGGCTTTAGTTCCTCTTCTCTTCCTCACTGTTGTGTGGTTTGGGCTGTTTTGCTGTGTCTGCAGTTACAGCCAGAGGAGCTATAGCCACTTATGCTAACATGCTACTGTGTTAACCTGCGCTGCAGACGCTAGAGGAGGCGTGGCCTAGAGGAGGCGTGGCCTGTTTGTACTCTCTCTACTCTCTACTCAGCACTTTTTACGGCCTGAATTCATACACGGTTGAATCAATTAACTCAAGTTGTCAATTAAATTACGTGTTTTAATACAACTTGTTTGTAGTATTACGCATTTTTATGAACTCACTAGAAAATAAATCAGGTTTACGTGCTGTGTGTGACTTTTCTGAGAGATGTGCTGTGTTAGAAAATAGCCCTCGATCGTGAACAGTAATAACCCTAAAATAACGTCCAGTGTGGAGTAAAGCACCTCTTAAACAGTGCTCATGGTGGAGCTGTCAGTGTCGGAGCTGAATAATGGTCACTGGTGTCTCCGCTGGTGTCTCCGCTGGTGTCTCTGCTTGTTTCCACAGATAGCTACACATCTGTCACACAGAGAATGTTGTGATCGTCTGACAGGGAAATGACATGAAGAGAGTCCTTTAACCAAATCAATCCTAAAGACGCAGAATGACTGTCTGTGTCTGTGCCAGATGTCTTCATCTGTGACTCTATAATCTCTGGAGTGAGACTGACTGTACCTCTGTGACGGACAATAGTAGGCCTCAGAGCGGGACCCAACCTACCTACCTAGTAGGTAGGTAGGTTGGTTGGTAGATAGGTAGGTTGGTAGATAGGTTGGTTGGTAGGTAGGTAGGTAGGTTGGTAGATAGGTTGGTTGGTAGGTAGGTAGGTAGGTTGGTAGATAGGCAGGTTGGTAGATAGGTTGGTTGGTTGGTAGATAGGTTGGTTGGTAGGTAGGTAGGTAGGTTGGTAGATAGGTTGGTTGGTTGGTAGATAGGTTGGTAGGTTGGTTGGTAGGTTGGTAGGTTGGTAGGTTGGTAGATACTTTCTTGATCCTGTTGGAGCAATGCCGCTTTTTTTCTTGACTCTGCAGTGTTTTTAAGCAGGATTATTATTCTCTAAAAGGACATTTCTGATCTAATTAGCCACAAACTGCCGTACAACCTTGTGAACACTTTTCCACTTGCACTGGTAACAAAGACGTGTGTACGACCAAACAGGCCTCACCTCCATCTCCTCTGAAACATAACAATACATGGACTGAATGAACCGACGGTAGAGTGGAAGCTCCAGGAGCAGGTTCTATTGTGCTGCATGACAGTGACTGAAGCCCGAGACTCCCCCCATGAGCCCGTCTATTAGCTGCGTCTGTGCCGAACACTGCAGCCTTTCTTCCCTTTTCCTCTGAGTCCAATTCAGAGACTTCTTTACAGTCTTTGAACATGATCAAACTTTTATTGAGTGACTCTCGGAACAGAACGCACCAGAAATGAAATGTGTGGGAACAAGACAGAGGCGGATACAATTATACTGGTGCTGCTGGTACTACTGGTGCTACTGGTGCTGCTGGTGCTACTGGTGCTGCTGGTGCTACTGGTGCTGCTGGTGCTACTGGTGCTGCTGGTGCTACTGGTGCTACTGGTGCAACACAGATGGCTCTTGGCTCCTGTTTAACCTGTATGTGTTCATATGTATATGTTTAACCTGTATGTGTTCATATGTATTTATGTTTAACCTGTATGTGTTCATATGTATTTATGTTTAACCTGTATGTGTTCATATGTATTTATGTTAAATGAGTTGGACATTATAACTGTGTCTGAGGTCAGTACTTAATGAAACAAGCTGCTAACGAGACGCCATGGACACACGTAGCCAGGTATTTTTAAAACTGAATATTTCCCACTCTCCGTTTACAAAATAATTTGCATCCACACATAACCGAACATCTGCGTTTTCAATCTTATTCATGACATTCCAAACATGGGGCCTGAGTCAAGTCCAGACTGAAAACACTACGACTGATCCTCATGAGTTCATTATTGACATCGTTGTACTTTAGCAGTTTATGATTAACAGTTTATTTATTATACAGCTCCTCACAGCAGCAGTAGAACGCTCCATTGATTTGAATGTAATTTCAAAACGTTCTACCGGTCATTATTTTCTATAACGGACCTCTCAAAACAATAATGACCGCTGCCCTTTGGCAACGCACTCTCTGCTTGTCTAAGTAAGTAAGTAAGTAAGTAATCTTTATTTATATTCCGCCCTTCACAGACCAGAGTCACAAAGTGGTTTACAATTGTTATTATTGTGCATTAGTCTCTCACTCCACACAGAGATGGGAGGGGCCAGTACAGGAGGCACATGCCAGAACTATTGTACATATTTTTAGTGGTAGGGGAAACCGGAGTACCCGGAGGAAACCTACGCAGACACGGGGAGAACATGCAAACTCCACTCAGAAAGGCCCTGGTCTGACCGGGATTCGAACCCAGGACCTTCTTGCTGATTTGTCTTTCAAATGCGTGGATAACTCCGCAAGTAGTTCCGGCCACTCCTGAGCTAGCCACGCTCAATCAACACACTTAAATGTTAATCGGAGAATACTTATACATATACATTCTTCACACACGTGCACGGAAATTTTCAGAATTTTCTGGTCTTATCTTCATGACAAAAATACTATTTCTCTGCGTCAAAAAGCGATCGTGAAAAACCCGGAAGTAGTTCTGGCCGCTCAATAAACGCAAATGCCAATCAATCAACGCAATGAAATGTTTATCGGAGAGTAATTTATACATATCCAGTTCACGGAAGTTTTCAGAATTTTCCGTTTACGTTTTCATAACAAAAACACTGATGTTATGCGAGAAAAGGCGATCCCGAAAAACCCAGAAGTAGATACGGCACATTTTAAGATACCGGCACATTTTAGGAACATTTGCAGAGGATCGAATTATGGATTTAGGTTAAGTTTATGTTTGGGTCACTCACCGCTGATGTTCAGAATTCTTTGTTCAGTTTTCATGCAGTTCCAGAGAGTTCTAGTTTGGAAGTTACTAGCCTATCTGTTGCTAGCCTAACTGTTACTAGCCTAACTGTTGCTAGCCTAACTGTTACTAGCCTAACTGTTGCTAGCATAGCCACGGGAAAGCCTTTGGGAACTATTTTATTTTCTGTCATTAAATAAACCTTTCGGCATTCCTAAAAGTGGACTGAAGTTTATGTTGTGTTCTGTTGGTATAAAGCCGTATAATAAGCGGGATAACATAGTACGCAGGTCATTATCGGAAAATAAGTACCTTCAGGGCGAAGCGGACCCCTCCGCTTCTCCCTGAAGGTACTTATTTTCCGATAATGACCTGCGTAATATACGTTATCCCTTACATAATACTTTAGCAGTTTATATAGCAGAGGATATAACCAGAATAAAAGATTTATTTTGTAATTGTCTTTTGAACATGTTTTTAAATTGGTGTTAAATTGGTTTTAAGTGTTGCTATCTGGGTTCATTCTGAAATATAAGTTTGAAAAAGACCCTGCACTGCTGGGCTAACGGAGGTGACACACTTAGATGTTAAATGGATAAGAAAGTATTTTAGAAACAGGAATGTAAATGTAAAATGGACTTTAACAAATCTTAATCCTGCTGCTGTCACAAAAACAAAACCTCAAAGTAACTTTAAAACGAGACAAACCAAATGAGAGCTGCACTAATCCATAAGAACAATGTTTATTAAGTCATCGTCGCCCCATGTGACAACTGCAGACGTTTCCATGGCAACACGGCACCAGCCTCACAGAACTGACCCCAGGTGTGAGCTGATTGGCCAGGTGCACGGCTGCTCCTCCAATCAGCACCAATCAGTGGCTCAGTGTGCAGAGCATTGGCCTTTGAGCCTGAAGGTTGTGGGTTTGAGTCCCCCACAAGACTTTCTCCACCGACTCCCACTGATGTCTGCTGCTGTTGTGTCCTTGGGCAAGACACTTAACCCCCACTTTGCCGATAAGGAGCGCGGAAGTAACAGCACACTAAATCCAAATTAGTTTCTTTTCAAACATAGTGATTCTCCCAAAAGTAGAATGAGAATTAGCATGTTGTAGTGAAGTATGTAGTATTTAGTATGGTAGTAATGTAGTAATGCAGTAATGTAAAATATGTAATAAAGGATAATGTCATTTACCATTTTTAGCTAGAATTAATTAAAATACACTTGAATTGCCAAATTCTATTATAATTGTATGTTTTTCTCCGACCACCTGGGCGCTCTGACTGACATTATGATAAAATAATAAAAGTGTTTTTTATTTGCTGGAGGTGAAAGGACGGAGGGAACATCTCTAATGGCATGTTGCATTATGTATATGTGGATAATTATCCTGCATTCAGCCGCGGTAAATAGACTGGATGTGTTCCAGGAGCAGCAGACGGAGCCCCACCTTGCCCAGGGGCCGTGCATTATACAGCGGCTCCATCTGCATTAATGTACAGGGGGCCATATGCATTAATGTATGGGGCCAAAGAGCTCCAAGTAAACTGTAAACACCCACCCAGGCTCTCACACGGACCTAACTGATCCAGAGCAAGAGTCTGCGCCCCAAATGTCAGGCACTGGACGTGTCACATGGTCTCACACGGTCTAACACGGTCTTACATGGTCTCACATAGTCTTACACGGTCTCACACGGTCTTACATGGTCTCAAACGGTCTCATATGATCTCACACAGTCTCACACGGTCTCACATGGTCTAATACGGTCTCACACGGTCTAACACGGTCTTACATGGTCTCACACAGTTTTACATGGTCTCACACGGTCTCACACGGTCTCACACGGTCTCACACGGTCTCATACGGTCTCACATGGTCTCACATGGTCTAATACGGTCTCACACGGTCTTACATGGTCTCACATGGTCTCACACGGTCTCACACGGTCTCACATGGTCTCACACGGTCTCACACGGTCTCACACGGTCTCATACGGTCTCACATGGTCTCACATGGTCTAATACGGTCTCACACAGTTTTACATGGTCTCACACGGTCTCACACGGTCTCATACGGTCTCACATGGTCTCACATGGTCTAATACGGTCTCACACAGTTTTACATGGTCTCACACGGTCTCACACGGTCTCACACGGTCTCACATGGTCTCACATGGTCTAATACGGTCTCACACGGTCTTACATGGTCTCACATGGTCTCACACGGTCTCACACGGTCTCACATGGTCTCACACGGTCTCACACGGTCTCACACGGTCTCATACGGTCTCACATGGTCTCACATGGTCTAATACGGTCTCACACAGTTTTACATGGTCTCACACGGTCTCACACGGTCTCATACGGTCTCACATGGTCTCACATGGTCTAATACGGTCTCACACAGTTTTACATGGTCTCACACGGTCTCACACGGTCTCACACGGTCTCACACGGTCTCACACGGTCTCACACGGTCTCACATGGTCTCACATGGTCTAATACGGTCTCACACGGTCTTACATGGTCTCACATGGTCTCACACGGTCTCACACGGTCTCACACGGTCTCACACGGTCTTACACGATCTCACACGGTCTCACACGGTCTCACGCGGTCTCACATGGTCTCACACGGTCTCACATGGTCTCACACGGTCTCACACGGTCTCACACGGTCTCACACGGTCTCACACGGTCTCACACGGTCTCACACGGTCTCACACGGTCTCACACGGTCTCACACGGTCTCACACGGTCTCACACGGTCTCACACGGTCTCATACGGTCTCACACGCCAGAGCAACTTAAACTGTATTTATGTCTGTGTTTGGCATAAATGAACTAAGCAGAGGTTTAGGACTCTCATCTGTAAAGTGTTACAAATCAAATTTTGCTTAAGATCGGTTTGAGTTTTTGTTCTGCATTGTAATAAAATGCTTTGATGCTGAACGAAGGGATTTTGAGTCTAACTGTTTCAGTAAAGTGAGGGCCCTGAATGTGTGTAACGGTTTATGCAGCGACGGAAACGTCCTCATCTCCTCATGTTCAGATCGGAGACAGTCACACAGAGGCTCACACTCCTCCAGAGCGTCTTTCACAGCAGCAGAAGAACATAAAGAGACACCTGTGAAGAGAGAGGGCGCTGTGTCTGCTCCACCTGCTCCACCTGCTCCACCTGCTCTGCTCCGTCTGCTCCATCTGCTTCGTCTGCTCCGTCTGCTCCGTCTGCTCCGTCTGCTCCACCTGCTCCATCCGCTCAGTCCGCTCTCGTATCATTTCCTTTACTCGTATTATCTGTACCGTCTTAAAACACACACAGCCCAGTCTCTTAAGGGCCTTCAACCTCAGCCACTTAAGATTCATCCCATTAAAGTCTGGGGCAGTCAATTTAGCAGCACGCTCTAATAGATGAGTCAGGAGCGGGACTTAGAGGGAGATTGGAGCTGATTATGCCCTTGTTCTGTTCATTTGCACAGAGCCTGGTTAATTGACTGGAGAGCAGCGATCCATTGGACACACACTATCTGCTGCCAGCGCTGTCTGACCCCACGGCAGGGAACAGGAGATCTGCTCTTGTTTAAACACACTGTTTGTTTTCATCTGCACTGTGTGTGTGTGTGTGCGTGTGTGTACATGTGTGTGAGAGATAACAGGGAGAAAAGAGGCAGCGTTGAGCGTTATTTGAGAGAAGATAAAATAAAGGAGGATAAAAGAGCTGAGCTGAGCGGAGTGAGAATTATCAATGTGTGTAATACTTGTAACGATCCAACAGACGACAGAGAGAGCAAAGGTCACACACACCAAAGGACTTTACACTGTCAGAAAGTCTATCCATGTAAAACATATGGGGAGGAGTCAGGATCTAAGGCTCATTACAACATATCTCTGTGAATAAGGGGCTGTTTCCATGGAGACGCCGCGACGGTGAAAGGTCAGAGTTCATATTGCGTCCTTTCGTTTCCATGGAGACGCTGCGTCAGTATAAGGTCATATTTTAGTAATTAGTATACATTTTTTAGTAAGCTGCACTTTTAAATTGAACTGTATATTCTTATGTAAGGTATGATTGTATTGTCAGGGCGACAGGTGGAGAGCATCTGGTGCACATTTTCCTTAATTAAACCCCCAACTTCAATCTTTAAAACCACATTTTAAAAACATTTGCAAAAGTCCAGAGTACACAAACACAACACGGATAACTAAATGTACATGTGATCATAGTGTTCTACTGTATCCTCAGCTTGTTTTGTCTTTTCCCGGGGCTAAAGTTCACCGTCTCTGCCTTGTCCGACCAAATCTTCCCAAAGAAGCCGTAACCATGGCGATACCGAGAGGAGCCTGGACCATCCTGCCGCATCATTACTCCGCTGTGGAAAAAAAAGCCAAACAATAACACATTGTGAAAGTGAAGCTGAGAAATGGCTCTGCCCAAGTCCTGGAGCCGAGTCCAACTATTCTGAACGCAACTCTCTCTTTGAGCCAGTACATTGGATTTCACTCATAAATGTTTTAAAAATGAAGCAATATTTATAACCCGTCGTCCATTATGGCCAATCTATAGTGGGAGCATTAGGGCTGCATTAGTGAGAGAAGTATATTTGACCTAATCCTGGTACTCAGTGAGAAGTCAATAACCTGCATTAAGAGCTGCCAAAATGAAAATATGACCCGGCCGTGTTTTTGTTTTGTTTTTTTGCGAGCGCTATTTCTGTACCACTTTCAAAGGCTCTCTCCATGTTTCCTTAATTGAATCATTCATAACAAGAAAACGATTTCTTTGTGGCTATGTCCAACAGTGGAGCTACGAGACCGAGGCCAGGCCGAGACAGACCGAGACAGACCGAGGCAGACCTGGAACATAACGCTGTTTGCAGGAGTAAATATGTCTGAATGAAAAGTGTGCTCTTTAGGCCTGAGTTGTAATCGTGCCTCTGGATGACCTTCTTATGTGTGCGTTAGCGTAGCTGCAATTGGATTTCCCATTGTCTTATCATGTTTGTGTGTTGACAATTGCATCAAAGCAATGGGGAAAAAATGCATTAGCGGCGCCACAGCAAAGTTTATGAATACGAGCTAAAAGCCAACGCGGCCTCCAACCGAGTGCACTTCAGAACGGACAAAGAAAACTATTTGTTGGTTTCAAATGTCATGAGCTGCTTTATTCTTTCATTTACGCGGCACAAAAGGAAAGGTCATAATTTGGCCGTTTACAAGCAAAGAGGGGAGTCATCTATTGTTAAACTAGTGAAAATGTTGTTAAATAATGTGACCATGGGCTCGGGGTAAACGCGCTGCAGTGAGATAAAGAAATAATAACCCTTTTGTAAAGTGGTCCATCTGTGGCGTGTGTGAATGGGCCGCTGGACTAAAGTGGGCATGAGGGAGCAACTTAGGTCAACAATAAAGTATCATCGAGATTTCGCTCAATCGGATTCAATTTAACACGTTTAAAGGGGCACCTTGACAGAAATATTCTCTCCGTCTTATCTGGACACATTTTGAACGTTTTAAACTGCAAAAAAATGACTATAAAATCCATGTAAAACTAGTTCCAAGTTATTACTACAGATGGTTCTGGTTCTAAATATTAAGGATGTAGTTACACCAATCTCCGGCGTTCAAACTAATGGGCCTTTAATTTTTCCGCGGTTCAAGAACATGTGAAAAAACACATTTAAGTAAGTAAGTAATCTTTATTTATATACCGCCTTTCACAGACCAGAGTCACAAAGCGGTTTACAATTGTTTATTGTTTCAATTTACACATGTGTTCGCTGCATTAGTCCCATTCATTTAACGATTCAAAAAGTCCACAGAGACTAAACTAGACTGGTCCAAATACATATACTCCCCACAGACAGTATCTGGGACCAAGAGGACCAAGAACCACTTTGGGACCAAGAGCCACTTTTGGACCAAGAACCACTTTGGGACCAAGAACCACTTTTGGACCAAGAACCACTTTTGGACCAAGAACCACTTTAGGACCAAGAACCACTTTAGGACCAAGAACCCCTTTTGGACCAAGAACCACTTTTGGACCAAGAACCACTTTAGGACCAAGAACCACTTTAGGACCAAGAACCACTTTTGGACCAAGAACCACTTTTGGACCAAGAACCACTTTTGGACCAAGAACCACTTTAGGACCAAGAACCACATTTGGATCATCCAAAAGCATTGGGTAATTCTCTTTCCGGGTACACCCCCACCGGAGGAGTGAGTACATGTGCTCATGGACCTTTTGGCCCCGCCCACACTGGTGCTATCACATCAGACTGAGCGGTCAGGATTTAAGAGTCAACTTTTATGTTTATTGATTTATTTAGGAACTGTACATTACAAAATGCATTATACATTCACATCTAATCCTGATTTTAACTGGATTAGATTCAATCCTGTTAAAATCCTGTTTTAACTGGATTAGATGTGACCAAAACAAAGCAGAACAGAGTAGATAACACACAAATGTAGCATAAACTTGTTTCATTTAAATCCTTTAATTCAAAGACAGTCTTGTCTTTTGGCTCTCACAACAGTCACGTTTCCACTGAGCTCAGGACCTCATGTTGTGTCTGAGAAAACCAGTTTGGTATTCAAGCTGTAAGATTCCTAAAATATGGATAAAAGTGATTTAGTTATTGTGTTATTTTACCGGGATGAGCTGGAGGAAGCATCTGTGGAGGGGGAAGTCTGGGCATCTCTGTTCAGACTTCCCCTGCTACCCAGCAATGGATGAAGTGGAAGAAAATGAATGGATGGAAATACAGTTATTGTGTTATTTTAATAAACAGAAATGATGGTGCACAGTTTAACGAGGTTTTTACTTTCAGGAGTTGGACATCAACAGGTTCTGACCTGTGTCGATAAACGTGACGCAGAAGTTTCAAATCAATAACGAGGAATTAAAAATGGAGGAGCTCGGAATTTTTCAGATTGATATTGATATTTCAGAATATTGCACAGTAATAATCCATGAATGTCTTGGACTATGGAGCAGCCGACAGCAAAATATGTATTTAAGAAACTTCCGAACCTTTTAAAGGAGCAGTATGTAAGATTTTATATGTCGAAGCATCATTAAAGGGCCCTAATCTGTCATCATTAAAGGGCCCTAATCTGTCATCATTAAAGGGCCCTAATCTGTCATCTTTAAAGGGCCCTAATCTGTCATCTTTAAAGGGTCCTAATCTGTCATCATTAAAGGGCCCTAATCTGTCATCTTTAAAGGGCCCTAATCTGTCATCTTTAAAGGGCCCTAATCTGTCATTGTTAAAGGGCCCTAATCTGTCATCTTTAAAGGGCCCTAATCTGTCATCACTAAAGGGCCATAATCTGTCATCGTTAAAGGTCCCTAATCTGTCATTCATCATTAAAGGGCCCTAATCTGTCCTCATAAAATCTTGTTATTGTTTTCATTTCAATGTCCCGCCCTCCACCGTTTCACCAATCAGAAAGTCTGTGATCCGGGCGCCAAAACTCACCGCGTGGAGCTAATCTCACTGGTAAAGTACCATGTGGCGCAGAACTAAAAAAGGTCTCGTTATGATTCTCAAATCATTAACGACAAAACAAGGAATAAAACCAGGATTTCTATCTTTGTGAAAAAGGTGTTGGTTATAGATTTGTTGTTGACAAAACTCTTGTCTATTCAGCTGTTATGGTCCCAGCTGGATTCGTCTGCATATCTGGCAACCTGAGTCAGGGAGAGTGGGAGAGGCTGCAGTACCACTTTTGGCCACATGTTTACACACTGCCTCTTGAACTGTGTCTTTGTTTAATAGCAAAAAAATACAAAACATCCTTTGGACAATCTCGCTTCTTCTTTGGGGTTAAAGCGTGGGACTCTCTCCAACTGGACTAAAACCAGACTCACGACATTCTTCAGCTCAAACTGTGGTTAAGATCCAGACAGAGTTGGACTCACGTGTAAAATATATTGTAATTCTTATAAATGTATTTAATCTTCTGTAATGTACTGTGGACTAAAAACCAGCCCCTGTGCAATAACAGCAACGCATCTGGTTTGTCCATGTTATTGTTATGTCCATATTAAATACATGAATAAGTACAAATAAAATATCTATATCTTCTTTGCAGACTAAAACGAGATTCTGCTGCCTACGACTGCCCTTCTCCGTGGCTTATTATCCAAGACAAGATAACATTTTCTTTATTCATCCCACTCTGGGGCAATCTCAACGTAGAGAAAGTATTTTTATCATCATTTTTTGCCAGGATTTTAACATGTGAAAGGAAACTGTGGCAGGCAGTTGAAGTGAGCGGCTCTCAATGGTGGAGGGGGATGAGAGTTTACGGCTCACAAACAGCAAATGGATGGTGCTCCTCTCCCCCTCCATAAGTCAGGCCTGGCATGAATATAAATGCAGGGTGTTGAAGAGCAGGGGCCGGCGCTGGCGGATGGCTTTTTGCACCGCGGCCTCCAAAAGCTGTGTTCTGCTCCTAATGGGTTGAGCCTGACTGAATTCAATCATGTCCCCTGATGTCTTCTGAGGAGGATGCAAATTGTCCATCAGCGCTAACCCGGCCTTGCCCCGCTCTCCGCCGCGCCTCCTGCCACGCTCATTCGTCCTGATTATTTGCCCATCTTTTACCACGTCACAGATTTGTTTTCCCCTGTTCTATGCATTCACTTCTTATGCATCATCGACAATTACCGCCATCACGATCCACTGAGTAATGGTCGCCACGAAGGTTGTGCTCTCAAAAGTTCAGTGCAGGAAGTGCAGGTGGAGGATAAGAACTGACTTTCTTTGTGCATATTAATGAAAATTTCTGTAAATATGCCAGAATTTGCCAGGCAGCTATTTTTCATTTGTAGTCCTGAGTCTCTTGAACGGTAAAAACCTGTTTGCTTCACAGACAGATAAAGTAATGTGGGCTATTTACAATATTTACAACAACAAGGCACTTCTACATTTGGAAACATTTACGGACTTTGGTCACTCCGCTGCCCTGTAATAAAGCTAATAATAATAAAAATATTCTTTCTCTCCAAACACGGTGGTGATAAGCGACTACAGTAGCCACAGCTGCCCTGGGGCACACTGACGGAAGCGAGGCAACCAGTCTGTGCCATCGGACCCTCCCACCACCACCAACCATTCACACACACACCAGACTCATTCTAATGTGGGGGAAGTGTCTTGCCTAAGGACACATCCAAAGTTTACAGCCGCCCCATTGTGGCACCTTCTGTTCCCAGAGGTCTCCCATCACAGTACTGACCAGTTCTTGCCCTGCTTAGCTTCAGAGGTCCGACGAGATCCCGTATCTTTGACCTTCCCTTGTGTGTCTCACCTGTGTCTCGTTAGTCTCATGTGTCTCATGTGTCTCGTTAGTCTCATGTGTCTCATTAGTCTCATGTGTCTCGTTAGTCTCATGTGTCTCATTAGTCTCATGTGTCTCGTTAGTCTCATGTGTCTCATTAGTCTCATGTGTCTCGTTAGTCTCATGTGTCTCATTAGTCTCATGTGTCTCGTTAGTCTCATGTGTCTCGTTAGTCTCATGTGTCTCATTAGTCTCATGTGTCTCGTTAGTCTCATGTGTCTCATGTGTCTCGTTAGTCTCATGTGTCTCATTAGTCTCATGTGTCTCATTAGTCTCATGTGTCTCATTAGTCTCATGTGTCTCATTAGTCTCATGTGTCTCGTTAGTCTCATGTGTCTCATGTGTCTCGTTAGTCTCATGTGTCTCATTAGTCTCATGTGTCTCATTAGTCTCATGTGTCTCATTAGTCTCATGTGTCTCATTAGTCTCATGTGTCTCGTTAGTCTCATGTGTCTCATTAGTCTCATGTGTCTCATTAGTCTCATGTGTCTCATTAGTCTCATGTGTCTCATTAGTCTCATGTGTCTCATTAGTCTCATGTGTCTCATGTGTCTCGTTAGTCTCATGTGTCTCATTAGTCTCATGTGTCTCATGTGTCTCCCCTATTGAACATGTTTTTAATGGTGTTTTTAATGGTAGGAGAAACCGGAGCACCTGGAGAAAACCTGGGACACAGGGAGAACATGCAAACTCCACACAGAAAGGCCTGGAGGTGGAATCGAACCCTTTGCTGTGAACCACTGCACCAAGTTATAAAGTCCTCCCAGACTACTGCTGTTGGGATTTAGGGCTACGCTAAAATTAATAGTGTTTTGAATAATGTGAAAATGAAAAAGCTGCGGTTCCTGCACAATTATGCATTTTTTTATCCACAGATTTTAATTTATTTAGGGCATTAAAAGGTAATTGAAAAGGACAATGTTATTAGTCAGAACACTGCCTGAATAAACAGTCAAAAGAACAGAATCATCTCGTAATGGCTTTGTTTTAGTGCTAGCATGACATGTTGTGATTAGCGAAGGTCAATGTATTTATTGGATTTGCTCATAATGCAATCATAATTCATTGGCTTCTTTTTAAAGCTTTAATCACACCATGAATGCGCTGGAATAAAGAAGCACGACGGAGAGGAAATTAGGCCCGTTTCACACCGTACCACAATTTAATCTACTGCGGGCTACAGGTGCATTCTGCTCCTTCTTAATTTGAGAAAATGTGTTTAATGCAAAATGTGTCATGATGAAACAAAGTGGCTCGAAAGCTTTTGTGTGCAAGTGTTTTTCCACACATCCATTAAGTTAAATGACATTCAAAAGTTTTGTAGAGAAGTAAAAACAAATCTGGTAAATTCCTGGTCGCACGCACTACAGAGAAATACTTGAATGCAAAGTATGGAGAGATGTGTCGGTGAGGAGGAGGAGTTTGTGATGGAGGCGCTGTTTGATGGGAGCAGTGGAGTGTTGGAAGGACAGGAGGGATGTGTTCTCTGGAGCGGGTCTGAGTGACGGGTCTGAGAGACGGGTCTGAGTGACGGGTCGGAGTGACGGGTCTGAGAGACGGGTCTGAGTGACGGGTCGGAGTGACGGGTCTGAGAGACGGGTCTGAAAGACGGGTCTGAGAGACGGGTCTGAGAGACGGGTCGGAGTGACGGGTCTGAGAGACGGGTCTGAGAGACGGGTCTGAAAGACGGGTCTGAGTGACGGGTCGGAGTGACGGGTCGGAGTGACGGGTCGGAGTGACGGGTCTGAGTGACGGGTCTGAGAGACGGGTCTGAGAGACGGGTCTGAGAGACGGGTCTGAGAGACGGGTCTGAGAGACGGGTCTGAGAGACGGGTCTGAGAGACGGGTCTGAGAGACGGGTCTGAGAGACGGTGCTGAGTGACGGGTCTGAAAGACGGGTCGGAGTGACGGGTCGGAGTGACGGGTCGGAGTGACGGGTCTGAGAGACGGGTCGGAGTGACGGGTCTGAGTGACGGGTCGGAGTGACGGGTCTGAGAGACGGGTCTGAGTGACGGGTCTGAGTGACGGGTCGGAGTGACGGGTCTGAGAGACGGGTCGGAGTGACGGGTCTGAGTGACGGGTCTGAGTGACGGGTCTGAGAGACGGGTCTGAGAGACGGGTCTGAAAGACGGGTCTGAGAGACGGGTCGGAGTGACGGGTCGGAGTGACGGGTCGGAGTGACGGGTCTGAGTGACGGGTCTGAGAGACGGGTCTGAGAGACGGGTCTGAGAGACGGGTCTGAGAGACGGGTCTGAGAGACGGTGCTGAGTGACGGGTCGGAGTGACGGGTCGGAGTGACGGGTCGGAGTGACGGGTCGGAGTGACGGGTCTGAGAGACGGTGCTGAGAGACGGTGCTGAGAGACGGGTCGGAGTGACGGGTCGGAGTGACGGGTCTGAGAGACGGGTCTGAGTGACGGGTCTGAGAGACGGGTCTGAGAGACGGGTCTGAGAGACGGGTCTGAGAGACGGGTCTGAGAGACGGGTCTGAGAGACGGGTCTGAAAGACGGGTCTGAGAGACGGGTCGGAGTGACGGGTCTGAGAGACGGGTCTGAAAGACGGGTCTGAGAGACGGGTCTGAGAGACGGGTCGGAGTGACGGGTCTGAGAGACGGGTCTGAAAGACGGGTCTGAGAGACGGGTCTGAGAGACGGGTCGGAGTGACGGGTCTGAGAGACGGGTCTGAGAGACGGGTCTGAAAGACGGGTCTGAGAGACGGGTCGGAGTGACGGGTCGGAGTGACGGGTCGGAGTGACGGGTCTGAGTGACGGGTCTGAGAGACGGGTCTGAGAGACGGGTCTGAGAGACGGGTCTGAGAGACGGGTCTGAGAGACGGGTCTGAGAGACGGGTCTGAGAGACGGGTCTGAGAGACGGTGCTGAGTGACGGGTCGGAGTGACGGGTCGGAGTGACGGGTCGGAGTGACGGGTCGGAGTGACGGGTCTGAGAGACGGTGCTGAGAGACGGTGCTGAGAGACGGGTCGGAGTGACGGGTCGGAGTGACGGGTCTGAGAGACGGGTCTGAGTGACGGGTCTGAGGACGGGTCTGAGAGACGGGTCTGAGAGACGGGTCTGAGAGACGGGTCTGAGAGACGGGTCTGAGAGACGGGTCGGAGTGACGGGTCGGAGTGACGGGTCGGAGTGACGGGTCGGTGACGGGTCGAGTGACGGGTCTGAGAGACGGTGCTGAGAGACGGTGCTGAGAGACGGGTCGGAGTGACGGGTCTGAGTGACGGGTCTGAGAGACGGGTCTGAGAGACGGGTCTGAGAGACGGGTCTGAGAGACGGGTCTGAGAGACGGGTCTGAGAGACGGGTCTGAGAGACGGGTCTGAGAGACGGGTCTGAGAGACGGGTCGGAGTGACGGGTCGGAGTGACGGGTCGGAGTGACGGGTCGGAGTGACGGGTCTGAGAGACGGGTCGGAGTGACGGGTCTGAGAGACGGGTCTGAGTGACGGGTCTGAGAGACGGGTCTGAGTGACGGGTCTGAGAGACGGGTCTGAGAGACGGGTCTGAGTGACGGGTCTGAGTGACGGGTCTGAGAGACGGGTCGGAGTGACGGGTCGGAGTGACGGGTCGGAGTGACGGGTCGGAGTGACGGGTCTGAGAGACGGGTCGGAGTGACGGGTCTGAGAGACGGGTCTGAGAGACGGGTCTGAGAGACGGGTCTGAGAGACGGGTCTGAGAGACGGGTCTGAGTGACGGGTCGGAGTGACGGGTCGGAGTGACGGGTCTGAGAGACGGGTCGGAGTGACGGGTCGGAGTGACGGGTCTGAGAGACGGTGCTGAGAGACGGGTCTGAGAGACGGGTCTGAGAGACGGGTCGGAGTGACGGGTCGGAGTGACGGGTCTGAGAGACGGGTCTGAGAGACGGGTCTGAGAGACGGGTCTGAGAGACGGGTCGGAGTGACGGGTCGGAGTGACGGGTCTGAGAGACGGGTCTGAAAGACGGGTCTGAGAGACGGGTCTGAGAGACGGGTCGGAGTGACGGGTCTGAGAGACGGGTCTGAAAGACGGGTCTGAGAGACGGGTCTGAAAGACGGGTCTGAGAGACGGGTCGGAGTGACGGGTCGGAGTGACGGGTCTGAGTGACGGGTCTGAGAGACGGGTCTGAGTGACCGGTCTGAGAGACGGGTCTGAGTGACGGGTCTGAGTGACGGGTCTGAGTGACGGGTCTGAGAGACGGGTCTGAGAGACGGGTCTGAGAGACGGGTCTGAGAGACGGGTCTGAGAGACGGTGCTGAGAGACGGTGCTGAGTGACGGGTCGGAGTGACGGGTCGGAGTGACGGGTCGGAGTGACGGGTCGGAGTGACGGGTCTGAGAGACGGGTCGGAGTGACGGGTCGGAGTGACGGGTCTGAGAGACGGGTCGGAGTGACGGGTCTGAGTGACGGGTCTGAGAGACGGGTCTGAGAGACGGGTCTGAGAGACGGGTCTGAGAGACGGGTCTGAGAGACGGGTCTGAGAGACGGGTCGGAGTGACGGGTCGGAGTGACGGGTCGGAGTGACGGGTCGGAGTGACGGGTCTGAGAGACGGGTCGGAGTGACGGGTCGGAGTGACGGGTCTGAGAGACGGGTCTGAGTGACGGGTCTGAGAGACGGGTCGGAGTGACGGGTCGGAGTGACGGGTCTGAGAGACGGGTCTGAGTGACGGGTCTGAGAGACGGGTCTGAGTGACGGGTCTGAGTGACGGGTCTGAGAGACGGGTCGGAGTGACGGGTCGGAGTGACGGGTCGGAGTGACGGGTCGGAGTGACGGGTCGGAGTGACGGGTCGGAGTGACGGGTCGGAGTGACGGGTCTGAGAGACGGGTCTGAGAGACGGGTCTGAGAGACGGGGTCTGAGAGACGGTGCTGAGAGACGGGTCTGAGAGACGGGTCTGAGAGACGGGTCTGAGAGACGGTGCTGAGAGAAGGTGCTGAGAGACGGGTCTGAGAGACGGGTCTGAGAGACGGGTCTGAGAGACGGGTCTGAGACACGGGTCGGAGTGACGGGTCGGAGTGACGGGTCGGAGTGACGGGTCGGAGTGACGGGTCGGAGTGACGGGTCTGAGAGACGGGTCTGAGTGACGGGTCTGAGAGACGGGTCGGAGTGACGGGTCTGAGTGACGGGTCTGAGAGACGGGTCTGAGAGACGGTGCTGAGAGACGGGTCTGAGAGACGGGTCTGAGAGACGGGTCTGAGAGACGGGTCTGAGAGACGGGTCTGAGAGACGGGTCTGAGAGACGGGTCGGAGTGACGGGTCGGAGTGACGGGTCGGAGTGACGGGTCTGAGAGACGGGTCTGAGTGACGGGTCTGAGAGACGGGTCGGAGTGACGGGTCTGAGTGACGGGTCTGAGAGACGGGTCTGAGAGACGGTGCTGAGAGACGGGTCTGAGAGACGGGTCTGAGAGACGGGTCTGAGAGACGGGTCTGAGAGACGGGTCTGAGAGACGGGTCTGAGAGACGGTGCTGAGAGACGGTGCTGAGAGACGGTGCTGAGAGAAGGTGCTGAGAGACGGGTCTGAGAGACGGGTCTGAGAGACGGGTCTGAGAGACGGGTCGGAGTGACGGGTCGGAGTGACGGGTCGGAGTGACGGGTCTGAGAGACGGGTCTGAGTGACGGGTCTGAGAGACGGGTCGGAGTGACGGGTCGGAGTGACGGGTCTGAGAGACGGGTCTGAGTGACGGGTCTGAGAGACGGGTCTGAGTGACGGGTCTGAGAGACGGGTCTGAGTGACGGGTCTGAGTGACGGGTCTGAGAGACGGGTCTGAGTGACCGGTCTGAGAGACGGGTCTGAGAGACGGGTCTGAGTGACGGGTCTGAGTGACCGGTCTGAGTGACGGGTCTGAGAGACGGGTCTGAGTGACGGGTCTGAGAGACGGGTCTGAGTGACCGGTCTGAGAGACGGGTCTGAGTGACCGGTCTGAGAGACGGGTCTGAGAGACGGGTCGGAGTGACGGGTCGGAGTGACGGGTCGGAGTGACGGGTCGGAGTGACGGGTCTGAGAGACGGGTCTGAGTGACGGGTCTGAGAGACGGGTCTGAGTGACGGGTCTGAGAGACGGGTCTGAGTGACGGGTCTGAGAGACGGGTCTGAGTGACCGGTCTGAGAGACGGGTCTGAGTGACGGGTCTGAGTGACGGGTCTGAGTGACCGGTCTGAGTGACGGGTCTGAGTGACGGGTCTGAGAGACGGGTCTGAGTGACCGGTCTGAGAGACGGGTCTGAGTGACCGGTCTGAGAGACGGGTCTGAGAGACGGGTCTGAGTGACCGGTCTGAGAGACGGGTCTGAGTGACGGGTCTGAGTGACGGGTCTGAGTGACGGGTCTGAGTGACGGGTCTGAGAGACGGGTCTGAGAGACGGTGCTGAGAGACGGGTCTGAGAGACGGGTCTGAGAGACGGGTCTGAGAGACGGGTCTGAGTGACGGGTCTGAGTGACGGGTCTGAGTGACGGGTCTGAGAGACGGGTCTGAGAGACGGGTCTGAGAGACGGGTCTGAGAGACGGGTCTGAGAGACGGGTCTGAGTGACGGGTCTGAGTGACGGGTCGGAGTGACGGGTCTGAGTGACGGGTCTGAGTGACGGGTCTGAGAGACGGGTCTGAGAGACGGGTCTGAGAGACGGTGCTGAGAGACGGGTCTGAGAGACGGGTCTGAGAGACGGGTCTGAGAGACGGGTCTGAGTGACGGGTCTGAGTGACGGGTCTGAGAGACGGTGCTGAGAGACGGTGCTGAGAGACGGTGCTGAGAGACGGTGCTGAGAGAAGGTGCTGAGAGAAGGTGCTGAGAGACGGGTCTGAGAGACGGTGCTGAGAGACGGGTCTGAGAGACGGGTCTGAGAGACGGTGCTGAGAGACGGTGCTGAGAGAAGGTGCTGAGAGACGGGTCTGAGAGACGGTGCTGAGAGACGGGTCTGAGAGACGGGTCTGAGAGACGGTGCTGAGAGACGGGTCTCTCTCTATTGCTGCCTGTATATATTCTATCCAGGTTAAATGAACTATACCTTTTACTATATTTATGTAACTTATAACCAAAGCATGTTTTTAATCCTTTTTAACTGAAACTTACATTATGAACTCTTATCTTTGTATTATTGCTGCCTGTAAATATTCTATCCAGGTTACACGAACACATGCAATGGCAAAAACACTAATTGACAAGTTGAAGAAGTGGTGTCGTGGAGAAGCACTGGATGAGAGCCACGCCCTCCTGACCGTCGTCCCTGAAAACACTGATGTAGCACTCATTGAAGAGACTTTGCAAAGTATTAAGTGCATTGGACGTGTCCGAGTCAGAGGACGGATGTTGAGTGACACTGATAACAACGTTCTTGTGTTGTGTGAATGCAGAGAAACCGTTACAGTGGAGGAAGTCCCACCAGAAGTGCTGGCACCTGAAGGCTTGACGACATGGCCAATAATCACAGCTAAGGACACATCCGAGGCCGAAGAGGATTTCAATGTGAAACTAAAAGCCCTACTAGAGGCTGAAGGGAAAACATTGGGTGATGTCCAAGCATTATTCACTGAACCACAACAACCTACCTCTTCTGCAGAGATGCTTATACGTGCTGTCACAGATCTGCTGGACAAGACGAGCAAACCTGCATCAGAGAGTGGTGGGTACCGCCGCCTACGCATATTCTCAGGTACTGTGCCTACTCCGGCTGGAGAGGAGCAGTTTGACCACTGGTTGGAACAAGCTTACCTGATGGTTGAAGAAAGTGATGGTTCTGACAAAGATAAAAGGAGAAGGATCATGGAAAGTTTAAAAGGCCCTGCTCTTGAACTAATCAAAGCGATACGCCTTTCTGAAGCTGATGTCTCTGCAGACAAGTGTTTGGAAGCCCTTGAGAGTGCTTTTGGCCTAGCTGAGTCTGGGGATGACCTGTATTTCTCCTTCAGACTATTACAACAGCAACCGGGTGAAAAGCTGTCAGACTTCCTGAGAAGGTTAGAACGCGCCCTGGCCAAAGTTGTGCAGTGAGGTGGACTACTGGCTAAAGACATGGACAGAGCAAGAGTCGACCAGTTACTGAAAGGTGCGGTGAATGCTGACTTAATGCTGTTACAGCTCAGATTAAGAGAAAGAAAAGCCAATCGTCCAACGTTCCTTGAGCTACTGAAAGAAATCCGTAAAGAAGAAGAGTATGAAGCTTCCAAAGTAAAGCTGAAACAGTCGGTTCACACAGTCCATGCCAAAGTTCAAGCTGAACACAAGCAAACAGAAATCCAAAATCTAAGGGCGGAGATTAAAGAAGTAAAGACAATGTTCGCTGCTCTTGCGACCCAAAGTCTGTCTGATGTGGAAACTCGAGAAAACCACCCAGCCCGACCTGGAAGTCCTTCAAGTTTGGATCCTGAAGTACAAGCGTTGAAAAAACAAGTCAAGCACCTGCAGAAAAAGGTGAACTCAAAGACAAGCCAAAATCCAAGCACAGCTCCAACCACTGTTATGGCAGTAAACTCACCAGTGAAACCGGCTACTGGGACTGAAGAACGTTTCTGTTACCGCTGTGGTGAAACTGGCCACTTAGCAGGGAAATGCAACGGGCCTGAAAACCAAAGCAAGGTCATTCAAAGACTTCTTCAAGCCCTCAAAAGAGCCAAGTCCAGGTTACACCAGCTTTGTCATTTTTTTTTTACATATTGGAAGAGTCCGGTTAACTCCCATTTCTGTTTCAAAAATATCCATTCGTTTTAGGAGAGATTTGAGCTGATATTCCAGAGCACCACAGCCTTCACAGACTTTCCTCCATTTCTTCCGTCCAGACATGACAAGTGTTGACAAATTTCACAAAGCTGAAGTCTGTAGAAGGAGTAATCCGTGTTTTGTAGATTACAAATGTAAATAAAACAATTAAAAGAGATTGCAAAGCGAAGAAAGCGGAGAAGCAAGGAAGACATCTACCACAAACACAGACCCGGAAGTCTCCTTACGTGTCTCTATGACGTCTGCTTGTTGTGACTTTATGACGTCTGCTTGTTGTGACTTTATGACGTCTGCTTGTTGTGACTTTATGACGTCTGCTTGTTGTGACTCTATGACGTCTGCTTGTTGTGACTCTATGACGTCTGCTTGTTGTGACTCTATGACGTCTGCTTGTTGTGACTTTATGACGTCTGCTTGTTGTGACTCTATGACGTCTGCTTGTTGTGACTTTATGACGTCTGCTTGTTGTGACTCTATGACGTCTGCTTGTTGTGACTCTATGACGTCTGCTTGTTGTGACTCTATGACGTCTGCTTGTTGTGACTTTATGACGTCTGCTTGTTGTGACTTTATGACGTCTGCTTGTTGTGACTCTATGACGTCTGCTTGTTGTGACTCTATGACGTCTGCTTGTTGTGACTCTATGACGTCTGCTTGTTGTGACTTTATGACGTCTGCTTGTTGTGACTTTATGACGTCTGCTTGTTGTGACTCTATGACGTCTGCTTGTTGTGACTCTATGACGTCTGCTTGTTGTGACTTTATGACGTCTGCTTGTTGTGACTTTATGACGTCTGCTTGTTGTGACTCTATGACGTCTGCTTGTTGTGACTCTATGACGTCTGCTTGTTGTGATTCTATGACGTCTGCTTGTTGTGACTCTATGACGTCTGCTTGTTGTGACTCTATGATGTCTGCTTGTTTAGCTGATTCTAGTTTAGAGAATGTATCCATAGCAACCTTGCAGATGAGATAAGACATTGTCTGCCAGGCTTGAACTCTCTGACCCGGCTTGGATTTGCCCCTGTGTACGGGGTCTGAGGGCGCTGTAATTTGGTCTAATTGGATTTAATACAATATCTGCCTGTTTTTGACTGCTAAACTGCATACAATATTGTCCCTCGTTACAGGAGATGTGTTCTCTCCCTATTGTGTCTTCCCTCCTCTCTTATCTCACATTCCTCGGGCCAAGGCCATCATAATAAATCTGGTCTCTACAAAAATTTCACACTCTTTCAGTCTTCCAGTTTGGATCCCGCTCCCCCCGCCTCCCTCTGATCTCTCCCTCCCCTCCCCTCCTTACTGTGTTTCCGACTCACCCCCTCCCTGACCCCGCCCCCCTCTGACAGCCACATTGGACCGGCAGGCCGGAGGTGCTCATCCCGTGAAAAAAATCCGTGGTTTATACAAAGCACAATGTTTTCTATCCAACTGTCTGTTGTTACCTGAATGTTATTGCTCTCTGCTGTTTCTTGCTGCACACAGCGCCGCAAATGGCGAAGTGGCACGCTCTCTGCCAAGACAATTTCCAAGTGATAACTTTGTTACTCACGTGGCAATAAAAATGATTCTGATTCTGATTCTGATTCTGATAAGATAACTTTATTGATCCCACAATTTACAAAGGGCCCTGTTGCCATGGCGACCCTTTGACTTGTCATTTGGAACACGGTAATGTCATCTTTGGATTTGCTGAGATGGAACAGAGGCCAGGCCTGGACCCAGAGCAGAGAAACCCCCCCAGACACAAGAGAGGACATTTCTTCAAGCAAAGTAAGAGGAGTAAGTAACGGTAACAAAGGGATCATGGTTGTTCATGAAGAGATCTCTCGCCTTCTTCAGGTTGAAAAAACCCTGGAAGAGCAGCTGAAAGTCAACGCTGAACAGAAACAGAGACTGGAGGAGCTGCAGCAGACGATCCACGAGCGAGACGCCAAAGTCAATGAGCTGGAGGGGTTCTTGGAGCAAAGAGACGCCCTGATCGACTTTGGAAAGGTTCTGCTCAAGAAAAAGGACAAAGAGACCAAGGATCTGGCTCGAGAGGTCCGCAACAGGGTCAACTTCCATGTGGGAAACCTCATGAAGGAAAAGATGGAACTCCAGAATAGCTGCGTTTACTTAAAGAAAGACCAGGCCTATCTGCGAGACCAGCTGGACCAAGCGGACGAGCAACATCAGCAAGACCAGGATCGAAATGAGAAGCTTGAGGCTGAAATTTCCAAAATGAAAAATCAACTGAAGCGGCAAGAACTGACAGAGCAGGAACTCACACAGACTGTTATAGAGAGAAACGCCCTCCAGAGTAAAGTAGATGAACTGAAGGAGTTCTTGGAGCAGAGAGACGCCCTCATCGACTTTGGGAAGGATCTGCTCAAGAAAAAGGACAAAGAGTTCAAGGATCTGGCTCGAGAGTTTCGAAACGAGGTCAATGCTTATGTGGGAGACCTCCTGGAGAATCACATTCATCTAAAGGATTACTGTGTGGACTTGGAGGAGGCTACAGTATGTCTGCAACAACAACTGGACAAAGCAGACCAGCAACATTTAGAAGATGTAGGTAGAAATACGGAGCTGGAATCTGAACTCGCGAAGACAAAGAAGCTCCAGCAGCAGCAGCAGCAGCAGCAGCAGCAGCAGCAGCAGCAGCAGCAGCAGCAGCAGAGGATCCAGGACCTTGAAAGAACAATTCAGGATCTGGAGGAGCAGTTGGACGAGGCGGAGAGATACCACATTCAAGACGCCGTGGAAAACCTGAAGAATGTGGGTGAACTAGGAGAGACACAAAGAAAACTGAAAAAGTCTGAAGCTCAGAACGAGGCCTTGAAAACAGAGATACAGAATGAGCAGGAAAAGATGAAGAAGAAGACGAAGAAGAGGAGCTGGTGGAAGTGTTGGGAGTAATCACCTCCAAACACCACTGTAGTGTTTGCATCTTGCGCCGTTTAAGCTAACGGGTTGAGGTGCGACACACTCAGGGGTGGGGGCAGAGAGGAAGGGGAGGTTGGGGTTTAGAACACTAGATTAGAATGACTCAAAACATTTTCTAAAGTCACCAAACCATAGTATGTGGAGAGAGGGGAGACGGTCTTCTTCTTTCAGGCGTGCAGGGTAAGGCCGTCTGTGCATTTACAACAAACTTGCGCCAATGAAAGAGGAAACATCTCGGCTCTAGCCGTGATATTTTGGAATGATGATTTAGATCAATGAATGAATCAATTTAATCATGTTCTAGCCACTACTTCCATCCATCCCAGTCTTCCGCTTTATCCATTTCTGCGTGGCAATGGATAAAGCTCGGACTTCTCTCTCCACAAACTCTTCATCCTTTCGACGAAGAAATACAACCCAGCAAACATCTGCATAATGAAATAAACAAATAGATATAGCATCATAAAAATGTATCCAAGTGTATTCATTTAATATAAGATTACTGTTGAGAGGATGATAAATCTGCAGAAGGTTCTGAGTCTACAGCCCAAACATGTGGTAATCAAGCAGTGCTAGCTTTCTTTACATTTTGGTCTGATCTAAGCCCTGTTGTTTGTTTTGTATTAGGATGACGTTTAGGATGTTGTGGTCTGATTTGTTAGCAACAGTTTAGTTTTACAAGACTTTGAAACGGGGGAATGCGGTGACAGTGGCTAAGTAGAGCATTGGCCAATGGACCTGAAGGTTGTGGGTTTGTTCCCCCACGAGACCTACTCCAACTGCTACCACTCATTTTCTGCTGTTGTTGTGTCCTTAGGCAAGACACTTAACCCCCATGTTGCCCGAAGCCCCCGCTGAAACACTAAGGCTGTGTCACCGCTGACAGAGCAGCCATCTTCCTGTGGACCCACCCCCTGCAGAGGATCAGAGGGACTGGTGCTATGAGCATTGGGTGCAGCTCTCATTGCCAGCCCCTGACCCAAACATGAACTAATAAAGTGGTTGAAATTGTAGGCTCAGACAAATGGCAGGTCTACTCCTGCGGACTGCCCTGCCCGACCCGCCTGGGAGTTCTTCAGCCCTGTACCGGACCTGTCCACGTTCAATGGCCGCTGGTCCTCGTTCTGTAGCTTAGGTCCTGGATCTATAGCCCATGATTGGGTCGATAAAACAAACCTGTAATAAGATCAAAATACAACAATGCAGCCTTTGTTGACCCATTTGCAGCAGCACACGCCATATAAATAATTAGTGTGTTATTCGAGGGATAAAGCAGAACATGCAAAAAGCTGTTCTTTTGCATGTTTTTGTTGTGGCGGTTGAGTGGCTAACACTGGTGTCAGATT